TGCTCGTAATGATTCAATATGTATGGAATAATCTACTTATTTAGGGATCTTTTAATTATAACAAGATCATAAGCTAAATTTTTAAATCCTTAACTTAAATTAAATGTCAATTAAATTAAAAGAACTTTAATCTAGATAATCTTAAGAAAACAATGCAATTATATAAAGATCACATTTTTAAGCTAACATTTTTTAATCAACAAACTTAGAAATGGAATTTTAATAGAAATAAAGAAGAGTACGATATCTTAAAAAGAAGTCGCCATCTTGCCTATGTTTGGTGCAGCTAAAAATTAGAGTGGATTTTGAAAGAAATTAATGAAATGTATAGTTGAAAAGAAATTTCATGAAATGTGTGATTAAATTAATTGTTAACTTTGACTTACATTTTTATCAAAATTTTAAATCACACCAAATAGGAGCCTAATCTACTATTGAAGGGAGCTCGAGCTTGACCTCCCATGAGTAGTATAAAAGTATACTGACGCAACGGATTAATGTGAGAGAAGAAAGACATTTAAATATTCCTTGCTTTTAAGAATACTTGAATGTTCAGAGTCAATACTTCTTTGATTCGTAAAAATGGATATCGAACCATTGAAAAAATATCGAGAAAACTCTCACTTGTTGAGCTTTTAATATTGCAATAGATTGTTTTCAAAAAATAATAATAATAATAATTAGGTTGAAACAATTAAAGGGATTTGAATCAACAATGCAATTAAAGAAAGTCTTTGACAAAAAATGTACGGGGAATAAGATCTGCCTCCAATCGTGCCCGTGCATCTGCCTAAAACCATGCACATTCAGTCAACCTGGGAAATGCACACATGCTCAACGTTCAGCAATACCAATTAGAACCAACTATTCATGTGCAATTTAAATAAAATAATTCTATACGATTCTTAAAAATAGAAATATTGCACGTCTAATCATACCATTCCATTCTTTCATATATCAAATTCAAAAAATCCATTCATACCGTGATTAAAGTATGAATTCGATTGGTCAAATCGACTCTCATTATTATTCAGTGATGAGTACTATGAAAGAAAGTTGATCAATGATTATTTATAAACTTAAAATGAATTTTTCTATAGTCGATGGCGGTAGGATTAATGAGGACACACCTTAAATTCATCGGCCATCAGACTTCCAAAACCTTAAACCCTAAGAACCGAGCTACATTTACAGAAATGTAGCTCCACAGAAGTTCTACATATTACACGCAAGGGAGGGAGGAAAATTTTTGAATCAATTTCTTATCAGGTGGATCCCACATCGGGGACCACCTCATGTGAGGGTCGGTAAGACCTCTACGAAGAGGTTTTCTGTACAAATGGTTTTCCTCAAACCCTAAACACTAAAAATAATGGAGAATAAGTAATCAATCCGTTATCATGTGCACGAGAAGTTTGTCGAAATAAAAACAACAATTTATAATTTTTAAGAATATAACTTATTTTATCTTGTTTATGTATAAATTGTTTTAGGTATAAGTTTAATTTTTTTACAAGCTTAGTCAAAATATTCACTTTTTTCAAGAACCCTCAATATTATGATTCAAGTATATTCTTAACTTGAAAGAAAGAATAATCAAATTCTAGTCACATGGATAAAGTTTATTGCAGCTTTAAAGTTCTGAGAAAAGGGCAAAAAGAAAAATAGAGAAAAAAAAAAAAGGGAAAAAGCCAATATATAAAGGAAGCAGATAGTTTCAAAAATAAAAGGAAACAGCTAATAATAATTTATTTATACATTAACCTTTTCTTTGACAAAATTATTATATTAATTTTGACACATAATGCAAACAAAAATACATCTATTAAAACCTTAATTCTTTGATAATCACTTTTCTTTCGAACTTTTTTTCAATCATGCTACTTATATATATATATATATATGTGTGTGTGTGTGTGTGTGTGTGTGTGTATATATTTTCACGTCTTTTCAATTTTTTTAACCACACAAAATTAATTTTTTTTTTCAAAGACTCACTTCTAAATAAATCTATATAAAATTGAAGAATATGTAATTGGACACAAATAACTTATTATTCTAGATAGAGGAAATTGTGGCGTAACCAACCTGGAATATTGAATTAGGTAAAATTTTTATTCTTCTTAAATGGTGATTTTTTGAGAAATGTGATTAAAAAATAGGAAAAAAAATTAGTTTACGTACAGAATATTATATCGTGTGAATTGTGATTGAAAATAAGTACGAAAAATAAGTAATTTTGATTTAAAGTGAGTGGCTAAATTACAAATACAATCATGTTACATGAACAGATTCAATGACAGACTCAAAAACAGAAGGGACACGTGTTCATATATGATTGGACAATTTGAAAAAAAAAAAAAATATCCACATATACACTATCAGTCAGTCTGTTTGTACTGTTTTTGTTCTTTAGCCCGAACAAGTGGCTTTTTTCAAATAATACTAACTTCAATAATTACCAGTGTTTTTAACCTAACAAAAAGCTTATAAAAAGACGAAGAAAACCTCTCACACCCAACTTTCAAACTTTTGATGAAAGGACAATGAGACATCAAATACGAGGTGTCATTGTCAATTCCAATTTCCCCTTATTTTATTGCACAATCAAACTTTTACTTTACACATCATAAAGAATCTTTATAAAGGATTGCATGCCAATATGTTCACACACACACGTGTTAAATTATTAGTGGCAGGACCTAATTTCTTATTATTGTATTAATTGGATTATACTACTTTACCATTAAGTTTCACATCAAGTTTCACACATTTTTGTCATTTTGTGTGAATATTGTCTATTATACCCTTATCTCTATATTTTAATTGTTTTCCGTATTTTTACC